CATCTGGGATTTTTAAATGTTCCAACTCTCAGTCCTTATCTGGAAGAAAAGAAATTAGAAACTGAACCTGTTAAAGAAATACTTTTGCCATTTACTGATGACAGAGTAACAGAGCCTGTAACAGTTGAAAGGAAATACATAAGCTCTCCCATCACAGTTATAGAGCAAGAGGAGGAGCTGGTGCAAAACATTTTCCCTACAAAAGACATTCCCAGAACATTCCTGACACCTAAGGAAGAAAAGCTGCCAGATAACGAGCTCATTGGTGATCCTCTGTTTTCAGGACAGGGGTCAGGAGATGACCTTGCTGTTCTTCCTTCTGTAGTGCCATTTGTTGTCCAAAAGATCAAGAGTACCTCAAGCCCTGAAACTTCTCACCCTGCAAATACGGGACCTGGACTTTCCACTGAGATGACACAAGACTTTGAGCGAGGAAGCACTCCAGGAAATGTTGAAGTTAAGGAAGAAGTCACAAGTGCTGTAGCTGAGCTGCTGCCAGAAACTGGAGACCCATTCCCCACCTCCACATTCCCCAGTTCTTCAGCTTTAGTCGAAGACAGCTCCAAGAGCTTCATCTCTAAAGAAATTGAGGACACCACACATTATTTTGTTGCGAATGAAGAACCACAGGAAAAGGAAACTGACTATAGGAGAGGAGAAAATGAAACAGATAAGACAACACCCGCTTCTAAAGCTGTTTCTCAAGAGGAAAATTCACATTTTCTGATTAAAGGTGGCACAACTCCTGTATCTGTTATACTGAATGGAACTCCCAGTCCTGAAACAGAGGAATCTCTTGTAACATCAGCAACAAAAACCATGGGCAGAATACTACCTGAGGGCTCTGGTGAAGGATCTGGCTGGGTTGGTGTTTCAGATTCATCTTCCCCTGATATGTTAACCCATTTCTCAATACCCACTGTATCCAAAGTGGAACTAAATGTTTCATCTAGTGTTCCTGGAGATGTTTATTCCAAAGTTATGACCACAGAGGCACCAAGAGATGGATCACAGACTCCAATCACGGGACTAGTCTCCCTCTTTACAGAAGAAACAGAGGTTTTGGGAAATCCATCTGCTGCTCATCCAAAGACAGCTTCATCAGAGGAACTAACAAGTGACACTGGGTTATATGAAAAAATTATTCCCATGATTGATGACAAAAGAAGTGTTATATTGAATGTTTCTGTTTATGGTGATATTACCCTGATTGAAGAACGGCTGCAAACCCCACCAGAAGAAACAACTATTATAGACATGGATCACTCTAAATCAATGCCTGAGGATATAATTAGTGTGCAGACAATGCCAAATCCTGTTACACAGTCAACATATGGCTATGATGACAGCACGACAGCTGAAGGGGAGAAGTATTATTCCACTCCCAGGTTTTCGATAGTCAAAGAAAAGACACTTGGATCTGGTGATAATCTTCCTCTGACTACTTCTAGTCCACCAAGCAGAGAATTGGTGACTTCTGGACACAGACCAACTTCAGGTGACATGGATTTGGGTTCAGGGAATGACATGAATTTCGCAACAGAAACTCTCACCACCACGGAACTCTCTGAACTGGGCATTTTCCTTCCTACAGTGCCATCTCTGGCAAGCCCTCAGGTGCCTCATGAGTCCAAGCCTGTTGTAACCAGCCCCACAGAAGACACCTCTGAGCCAAGTACTTCAGCAAACAACCAAGCAATAGCAGATCAAAGCGAAACAATCCCTGGCTTTTCTGGGATGGGCCAAGAAGAGCTGGCTGATAATCAGCCTGTGGTTCCTTCTCTTACACCAGTTGTAACTGGTGAGCCAGAAAAGGCTTTGACAACGGGTGAGCTTGAGTTAAGTGTTGTCACCACACAGCCTACATCCCAGCTGACAACTGTGTCACCTACCAAGGGTGCAGGGAATCATCCCACAGTGTACACAAACTCAAAATCAGCATCAGCAGAGTATGAGGAAACAGATGCAGTGAGTTTTTATTCTGTTCCTCAAACTCCTAAATCCTCAGTAACTGTGCATTTAGTAAACAGAGTGTCTGAGTACCCTGAGGTAATCATTACAAGCACATCAGCATCATCATCATCAAGGGATTCACGTCAGTCCAACCACTCATCAGGAGGAATCTTCAAAGAGGTTAGTTCTGATGTTACAGCAACATATAAACCACCCACTAGTGACCTTCTTGACACAACAGAGTCCTCTCTGCTGGAGCTTTCTCCTGAGCCTGTTTCAGACAGCACAAGCACAGAAAGCACTCCTCAGTTTGGTAGGCTTCTAACAGGTGGGACAGAGGAGACAGAAACCCCTGCAACTGATTTAGCTGGTGAGGAAGAAGCTGCTGTTTCTGGAGATTCTCCATCAATACGTGTCTTGCCTACTGCTTTGCTGAATTTTGGAGAAAGAGTGAGCACAGATGTTCCAAAAGTCAGCACAGCAAAAGTCGAAGCTTCCTCAGGGAGAGTCAATAATCCCCTCCAAGAGGAAGACAGGACTGCTGAGAGACAGAACCCCTGGCTTGTGGCCACAACTGTTTCAGACTCACCCAACAGCATCGAAAGTGAAGGATTTAAACCTGGCCAGGAAGCAGTTACAATGCTAACCTCGCCTTCCCAGCTTTTGGATGGAGGCACAGAAACACAGGCGGCTTTGTTTGGTCAGGGGGAGATCACAACCATCTCTTCTAACATTGCAACAAACAGCATTGCCCCTGGAAACAGCCCCTACCAAAACCAGCCATCAACACTGAGCTCTGAGGAGCCAAACACTGTGGAAACTGTAACTCCATCATTTTCCCTTCCGGAAGTCACAAACGGCTCAGATTTCGTGATTGGCACCAGTGTGGGTTCAGTTGAAGGCACAGCAGTGCAAATTCCAGGTAACTTTCCAAATATGATCCCTGTGGTGTTGAGTGTGTTGTGGTACTTGTGAAGGTGTTGCCTGGGCTCTGGTGAGGGGTGTGACAATCAGAGCTCCGCGTGAAATGACAACGGACCTCGTCACCCTCCAGCTGAGAAATCAGCCTGGCTGTGGCCCCCACAAGTGGAAGAGGATGGGGGACTGCCAAAAAACCCCAGCCCAGTGGCTTTCCATTGGTGTTTGCATCGTGGAGCTCTGGATCAGACTGGAGGTAACCAGCCAGTTCTAAAAGGCAGGAAGGTAACATTGCTTGTGGTAGGGAGATCAGCTGGAGTGATTTCATTCGCCAGTTTCCAACAGGAGATTTTATCTGATGGCTTTTCTTGTGTGCGTGGTGATAGCTCTTACACAATTGGTTCCAATGAAGGGTTGTTTTTAACATCTTGCAGTTGACCTAGAAAGCAACAGTGCACGTTTTAGGATCAGAATTTTCTGTAAAATTGAACTTCTCTTGACCTACAAGATAGCTTTCCACACAAGAGAAAACCAAGACCTTCTTTTCAGCCTGTCTGTAGCTTTAAGTGGTTGATGCAGTGTCAGTCTCTTAAAAATTACAGAACTTTTTGTTAGATATAATTTGCCACAGTATTTTGTTTTCCATGATGGTATTGGGAACCATTTCATCAAATACATGGGTGATGCCAGTGGCATCACTTCAATTCATATTTTGTCTAGATACAGCTGAGAAAAGAACTGGACTGCTCTGATTTTATAGATTTACTGTTATCTTTTTCTCAAATAATCCAGGTAGCTGGCAATTTGAAAGTGTTTGCTGTGGAAATATCCAGTCTGTAGAAGGATAAACAGACAGCAAACACACAAAAAACACCAGTAAGGTGCCCTACATTTGTGACTTTCATTGAAGCAGTCCTAAAACAAGCACCCTATTGAATGGATGGGATCAGATCCTTTCCAAAACCTTCAAGGTGAAAATGTTAATTACTTAATTACAATCCTAAACTTTTGCACATAGGATTTTCTTTTGGAAGCTTTCAGCTGGACCTTCTGCATTCCCATGCCTAGACAGGGAACTTGGTACTATTTGAACCTCTAATTTGCAAAAGTAAAGTAGATATTATTACTTTTTTTTTTTTACTTTTTTTTTTTTTTGGTCATAAATCCTTGTCAGATTGTTTTGGGAAAACATGACCAAAAAAAAATCTTAATTTTTCTCATGCCTCTGATTTGCAGAAGCCTCTTATCCATTTTGTAAGTTTTCACAGCCAGGGCTTTATTTTTGCATGTCAGAAGGGCTGTCTTCAGGATTTCCCTCTCACTGTGAGAAACTAACTCTCAGGAATGGTTTAGTGTGGACTTGTCTGTGTGAGTGAGTGCTCCTAGGCATGAAATCAAATGCAAATACCCAGGTATCTAAACTCAGTGGAAATAAACATCACTGGAAGGCATAAAGCTCTTCAAGGAAATGATATTTAAACGCTAACTCCCATAACAACTGAGGATTTCACAGCAGGTAAGTTTTTATCTTTATGTTCAGTCGAGAGTCAAATGTATTCAGAGCCTTTGTTTGTATTCTTTAAATGTATTTTTAAGAAAGGCAGGTGGGAAGCACACATGAGAGAAAAGAAATAAGACTTTGTGGGGATTGATTGATTGAATATAAGCAGCCAGTCAGTATGTTCTGTGTACCCTGTCATTCTGCATAAACTAACCCTGTTCAAGACAAAAGCATTTTCCATTCATTTTGCATATGTTTAACTGTTTTCAGCTATAATTAATTGTCATGTCATGCAAACTAAATCCTCAACAGAGTATCATGACTGCCAAACATAGTACAAATTGCTGTGGAAAAAAAAAAAGTAATTCCAAGAGTAATTTACATTGGTTCATAGTAAATGCCATATTGTTGTTAAAGTTGAAAGTAGTGATGCCTGAAGACCAGCTTTACTGTTTTATAAATCTTATTTTGAGTAGTTGAGTATGTTCATAGATTTTATGCAACCACAGTAAAGCTTGCACCACCAGTGAAGCAGTGAAGAAAGGTTTATTTTTTCCTCCTGAAAATAAAAAATACACCACTTCCTTGAAACTAGGGAGTCAAATTCCTTTTTCTCTTTCTTTAACAGGCCAAGATCCGTGCAAGAGCAGCCCCTGCCTCAACGGTGGTACCTGCTACCCACGTGGTTCCTTCTACATCTGTACCTGCCTGCCAGGTTTCAGTGGGGAGCAGTGTGAATTAGGTAAACTGGTGCCATCTGGGTGCTGATTGACTCCAGTTTAAAAGATCTTGAACATGAAATCTGGTGTGCTTTAAAGCTGAGGGCTGCATGGGCGTTTGAAAAATTTTACACCAAGGCCTTACTTTGGGACAATGAAATGGAGAATTCCCCATTGTCTCTCCCTTTTCCCCCTCTCCATAAAGTGCACAGATTTGTGTACACACACAGGGGTTAAGGGAACTGTAAGTGAACTGCAGGAGTTGGAATTCACAGCACTGAATTGAAAAACACACCAAATAAAGAAAAAAAAATAGACATTAATATTGGGGATAGTTCCCTAAGAGCATCCCGTAGTTATTCAAAAGGCTGGTAAGATAAAATATTCCCAAATGTGAATGGGAAGCTGAGAACTGAAGACAAACTTCAAAATTTTTGCAGGAAATTTTAGATATTATCATAGTCATATGCATCTTTGGCACAAATTAGTATTTTGGTAACCATTTCAGCTGAGGAACCTCTTCCAGTTGCCTGTGACATCTCTGCATCCCCTGTGACTGTAGATTTCAAGAGACTCACCTATATGGTTTAGAATAACACATTTTCCCTCCAGAAAGCCAGCCAAAGTATGATAAAATGACTGGAACAAGTAAGACCTAGCATAAAATTTGACCAGAGCATATTTTAAAATAGAAATATATATTTTTTTAATCCTTCTACATGATGCAGAAATTATTCCTAGTTGTTTGTTTGTAGATATGTCCAGCTTCTCTCTTCTATTTTAATGAGTGAACCACAACCAGCAGTTCATTTTTGAATGGAGATGTTTGCAAAATCTGTGTTGAGGTCTACACTGTGATTGCTTCAGAGGAACAGCACTCATTAGGAAACTTCATATGATCTTCATGAGGAGACACACTTGCAAAAGCAACCCATGCTGGAAATAATTATACAAAATAAACTCGTGCTTCAATTTAAAAGGTGAAGACAAGGTATTTTAGCAGATAGAGGAGGCAGGGACAGACGTGTTATTTGTTTACAGTGCAAGACCATGAGTGCTATAATGTTTTGTCCTTATCTCTGTAAGATTAGACAAGAAAGAAATGAGAAATGCAAACCAGGGTGATTCCAGAGCCTGCTGCTCTGCAGACTGAAATTAGCTGTCTGTTTAATGCTACATGATGAGATTTCCAATATTTGAGTTTCGTGAAGACATTCGAGGTCCCTGGTGGTTAATGGGAATTTTGTTGTGCCAGGGCCATACACACAAGCCAGATTTTCCACCAGGAGAAGGCTGCATGGCATTCCTCTTTCTCATCCACGCAGCCACCGCTGGGATCTTTCACAATACTTAATTTTTCTGCTCTGAACTGGTCCAAGTCACCAGCCTGACTAAGGCTGCAGAGCATTTCCCTCCTGGGGGCTGGGTGGGTGATGAAACCACTTTTATTTTCTGCTGCAGATATCGATGAGTGCCAGTCCAACCCGTGCCGGAACGGTGCCACGTGCATTGACAGCCTCAACACCTTCACCTGCCTGTGCCTGCCCAGCTACGTGGGGGCTCTCTGTGAGCAAGGTAAGGGCTGTTCCCTCTCCTGTGCTGCTGGACACTCATTTCCAGCCCAAAATCCTTCTGGAGGTACAGCGCCAAGCCTCCTAAAAACGAGAAGGTGGAATAATCCAACAAAAATCTGCGGAAAGTCACTCATGGTGAGAAGAGCTCCAAATTTTTGTTAGACTTTCCTGACTTGTGTTTCAGGGTTTGTTCCCATCTCTCACTTTGCACAAGGCCTATCCACATGCTAACCTGAGTGGAAGCCATGTACAAAATATAAACTGATATATGGGGCAATTTCTGTCTCAAAACAACAGCTCTCAGCTGCTGCTTTTCAGCAGCAGTTTTCGGGTGGCTCCAAGCCTGCTTGCTTATGCTGCCTTGCAAACTGCTGGCAAGACACAAAATGAGGCACTCTCATTACTGCAGTGATGCTTAATGAGTGGGAGCAGGGTTACTTTGTGGCTGAGTTTCTCTCTTAAAAAATTACATGTGGTGTGAAAGACGTATCAGAAACCATCACCTCCAAAAGGCATCAGTGAGATGTAGGAATAGTTTAGTGAATAAGACAGATTATATATTCATCCACTGGGGACCATAGCTTTGACAACTTCATCCTACAATTTTTGAAATTATTTCTTCTGGGATTATTTTAGGAAAAGTAGGTGCAGCATTATCATTACAAGGAGATTGTAAAAGGCTTTCTAAGGTGCACAACTGAAATAAGATTGAATATCCAAGTGCCTGTAGTTGTTAGAAAATTGCCTGCAAGAAACCCCACAGCATTAACAGGAAACATTTGCAGTGCAAGATGCTTACTCAATATGTGGGAGGAGGAATAGGGTAGCAACATTTGTTCTGTCAATAAAATTAATGAAGGCATTTCCGTGGGAAAAAGAAATGGCGCTTGCCAAACTTATGAAAATATTTTTTTCCTTTTCCTTCATCTTAATGATTTTGGTCACAGGTGAATGAACTAAACCTTTCGATTTGTTTAATTAATATTGTGTATTTTCATGTTTGTTTCTCAGCTTCAGTGAGGAGTGGTTTGCAAACTCTTCCAGCTCAACCTGTAGAGATCTTTTTGTTAAAGAGGAAAAATCTGAGGGCTGATCAGCTCCAGCATTTTTACTGTTTAACCTTTTCAGCAGTCTGGCTAACCTTGTTACTTGAGAAGGCTTTCTGAATCTTGCCTCCCAAATTAAAAATTGACAGTGTTTTCACACCAGAAGAAATAAATGTTCTCACTCCCTTCCTCCTCCCCTTCATTCCAGCAAATCCATAGCACTGAGTGGCTCTGAGTGCCATGGTAGCTTTAAGCTGCTTTTTATGACCAACCTGAGAGTGCATTTTAGGTGGTTAATGGGAACATTTCCTAGTTTGTCAATCAGAACCAGAGCTGTGCTCTCTTAGCTTTGGAATTTAAATTTCCTCCACTTAAAGTCCTGCAGTGGTTTGGGACTTGGGAAAAGGTTTTAGTGCCAAATTTCCACTCCACCAGACAAAATAAAACTGTGTTGGCGATTCAGACATGGTTGTCTGGCAAGCAGGCTTTATTTCAAGGCATCAGTCCTGACCTCACTAGATTTAAAGACCAGTCAGGACGACAGAATGTGCACCTCAGTGCCACAGGAAAGGTGGAGCTCAGCACACCAAGATTATATTTCATTACTTTTTTTTTTTTTAAATTTCAAATATACTATTCATTTTAGAAAGCTTCAAAAAAAAAAAAAAATCAGACTGAAGGGATTTCTTAGGCACAGTGCTGAGCATTCAAAATGCCGTGGGAGGGAATGGGAGCAGGGAGCATGCACTGCCCTTGGAAATGAAGCTCAGAGTAGGAGGTCACCACATCTGCACCCACTACACTGGTGCAGAAGGACAAGCAGAGCTCAGAATTTCACCCAAATGTCCCCGTGGGACTGCTCTGGACTAAGGGATCTTTGACAGGGGTATCATGCTTGTGTCAGCATTTGGAGAGGATGTGACCAGGGGACAGCACAGCTGCACGCCACGGAGCTCTGGCAGGTGCTGAAGTTAAAGGAACCTTCTGGGTGATCTAATCCAGGCTGAGGCAAATCAGTCCTGAGACTCAGGGAGCTGGAACTGGCTCCCTGACAGCCCATCCTCTTGCCAGGTGGAAAGAGTTCAGCAATCTGAGCCCGGGAACATCTTCCTGAAGTGAGCTGAATTTGTCAGATGTTAGAAATAGTGCAGCTGAAAGTTCCCTCAAAAGTTTGCCTTTAAACTAGATTGTTAGCTCAGTGAAGACAGCATCATTTCTGGTGCAGGTGAGATTAAAAGGGACAATATCCTCTTTTGCCCACTACCTGTATCTTTTCAAAGGAAAGATGCATGTTCTTCTTGTCACTTATTGATATTTGAACATTGCCCCTTAAAATTCATAAATATCCCCCAAACACCTTCCCAAAGAGTGGCAGGAGATTACAGTAAATCTTAGTGTGAGTTTTATTCTGGAAAGCCATCAGTCTTTCCATTGTCATCCCTCTGTGAAAAGCCCCTATGACAACTCTCAGGAAATGGTAAATACTTGCAATTTGAACCTCAATTTTAAGGGTGAATTCTCTTTATGAGAACTGGATGAACACCTCTGTGGATTTTCCTCTTCCTTCCTTGGCTGCCTAGAGTTTCCTTTCCTTTTTTCTCCTTTTTCTGCTCTAGCTGGTGTCTACCTGCTCTCAAGGAATGTTTTAAGCCTAAGGTTTGGCTTGCCTGCAGCTGGACATGAGTGCAAAAATGGCACATGTGTGTTTGTAACAGAATGCGCCTCCTTGGGATAATTCAACCAGCTGCTCTCTTCCAGGTTCTCAAAACAAAACAACTGTGGGTTTTAACCACCCTATCAGGAATCATGTGTTCTTATAACCCAAGTTCATTGTTTCAATGTCTGTGATTACTCCAGTCTCATTTAATTCACTTTGTTCCCAGGGCTTGGTTGGTTGGGGTTGAAGTAGTTGAGAAGGGCTCAGGGAAAAGGTACTTTCTGAAAACAGATGGTCTCTTACTGATGTCTGTCAGCTGAAAACAGATTGTTTTGGATATTTACAAGACAAATGGGTTTCTCCTCGAGATGTGTGGGCTAAGTGGCCTCCAGCATTTTCTCATTAGCTGAAGGCAGAGAGTCACTGATAAAATTCGCAGCTGAGTAAGACTCATTATGTTCTGGTACCTGTGTCAGTCTTTATTACCTATAAGCCTCTTCTGGAATTTCTTTAAAGACAATGGACCTATTGACAGCAGCAATTGAAAAAACAGTCCCTATTTATGTATCAAACCCACCGAGAACTCTTTTTTTTTAATGCAGTGTTAAGGGATGTGGTTACACATTTTCAGTTGCAGTTACAGAGAACAGAAGCTGTGAGAATAACTCCTTGCACACACCACTGAAAACCCCTGTAAATTTTCATAAACCCAAGATGAGTCTTAAAACACCACAAAAATGGTGAGCAGTGTTTCAATCCTTCCATCACATGCTGGAGTAAGGTTAAGAAGTCTGTGGCTGGGTACACAATGAATGTGAAGTATTGGATTTAATAAGTGCTTGCACCTACTCTGCTCACCGTGGTTGGGTCAGAAAATTTACCTGCAATTTGTGTCTACTGGTTCAGTAGACGCTAATTTAGTGGTTCAGTAAAGGCACTGAAAACTTAACCCATATTTTTTACCCCTTTCAGCTTTCATCATTGAGTAAGGGTTGCACACTGAAGACAAAACTCTGCAGAGATGAAATTGTCCCCACAGTTTTACTTGCCTGGTTCACATTTTGCATCCTCTACCGTCTTGAATCTTCCTTTCCCTATACATTTTTTTCCCTCTTCTTGTCAACCTCTCCTCCAAAAAAAACCAAACCAACCCCCAAAAATGCCAACAGCAACAAACACCAAAACCAAAACCCCTCAAAACAAACAAACAAACAAAAAAAAAAAAAAAAGAAAAAAAAACAGAATCCCCAACCACTCCCCCACCCCCAACCAAAAAAATCCTCTTTTCCAGCATCTAAAAACATCATTTTATAGCCATCAGTTCTGGTTTGTTCTATTTTGGGGTTTTGGGGTTTTTTTTAAGATTTGGGATATATACAGGTGCAGAAAGTTACTTAACTTTTTGTCAGTGTTTGACACCTTTTACCTTAAGAAGAGAAACTGTGATTTTTTTTTGTAAGAGGAGAAATTGTGTTATAATTCATGCTCAGGCCATTATATCTAACTTAGTAAACACAGTCCTCTCAGTTTTGTATTTTCAAGCCCCTTTGCCTCCCCACTGTGCCTCCTCTCAAATCCTTCACTTCTTCCCTAGCAGAGGCCAGGGAAGTTTTGATGAGAATAGCCTGGAAATCCTCTCTGGCCACGTTTTTCTCAGCTCCTTGTTATTATCTGACTTGTTTCCTGTGGGACAAAGGAGTCCCTGAGCAAGATAAATAATAAAATCTTAAGTGCCTTTACAAAGGACATAGGTCTGTTAGTCAGCTTTGTGTGGTCAAACAAATGTTCTAGAAAGCCCAAGGCAGACTAAACTTCAAAAATTACCTAGATGCCAGAGATTAAAGCTGTGTCTGCAGCCTGCACCTCACACAGAATTACAAAGAGGGAAAAGATAAAAAAAATAACAATTTGGTTATGTAGATTACATTCCTTTTTTCATAGCTGGGATGACTCAAGGCACAAGCAGTTTTCTACAGTTCAGTTTCCTGGAAATAGAAGGGACATAATCAGTGTATGCCTGATTATGTCTTTGCATTTGGTACATTTATGTCAGTACTGATGACTTTTGGGAAACTTTTTTGATATCAGACTCCTAAGACAATGACTACATTATTAGTGTCAGAGAAATTCTGATAAGCTTCTGACACGGCTTTGCCACATTTTGTTTGCACTTTGAAATCCATTTATGTACATGTAAAATCTAGTTTGTGTCATGGGAGATTTAAACCCTTTTTTTTTTGAAAAATAGACAATTTGGTGTGTCAGGATAGAAATGGCCTCTCCCTGCTGTGAATTAATAACCTGTGCTGTGAAAAACTGTTTTTTAGGTGGTGGTAGCAGCTCAAACCTAAGTTAATCCCTTAGTTAAGGTATTTGCAGCCATCATCCCTTGGCATGTACTGCAATATTTGGCTATTTCTGTACCCAGGCAAAAAGAGCCCCTTTGGCCAAAGTGTGTTATGTGCTACTGACTGCATTGACTAACTGAGAATAAGAAATCCAGTTTCCAGCCCAGAACATCTCCATATCTCTGGAAAGGTTGGAACAGTTGGCTCCAGACAGTTTTGCTCAGGGGCCTGGTCAAATTTGATGGGAAGTGGCCGATTCCCGGTAGGTGGGTGGGGTGGGGAGGCCAGGCCTTGTGTTTCTGTTCCTCAGCATCCTGAGGCCCCTCAGGGTGAGCCATCCCCATGCTGAGACAGCTGTGGCTGAAACACGCTGTAATCTCGTGCTGAAATGTCCTTTATGATGCCATTGCATCTGTCATGGCTCAAAACTCCCTGCCTTTCCCCTGTTGTTCCTCCCACTCCTCCCTAAAACTCCCTTTTATCACTGGCAGGCCCATCCCATCCTCAAGCACAGTTCAGATGTCACACATTCAGACATCACACTTGTTTTGCCCATCTTATTAATGCTGATTTTTTTTCCCGTGATTCATCCCTGCAGAAGCAAACTTGGAACTGAAACTCTTGGGGATTTTTTGCCATCTCTACTGTTTACAGCTCCCTACACTTGACAGGAAAATTAATGTCAAATCCATGGGTTGTTCCTGTTCCAAGCTTGTGCTTATTTCTCTTTGAGCTGAAAGGATATAGTGGCTGGTGTGAATCCTCTCTGTGATGTGTTCTTATCAGCACCATGCCTCATGCGAGCACAGACAACGTGCAATTTCATTACTTTGTATTTCAGCTTTGCAAACCTCCTAACAAACTGATGGCTGAGGTTGCCTTCATCAAGGAAGATGGGTTTTGGGGGAGGATTTGGAGGCGTGAGCTCAGAAAGATAATATTGCAGCTTTGCTTCTGCAGACTAAACAATTACAATAATTTCTCTTCATATAATTTTCAGTTATCGGTTTCTTCCAAACTTAAGTTAGTAAATTGACTTGAAGAACCATTTGTCCTTGCAAGCAAAAATTCCCATTCCCATGTACAGGCTCAGAAAACTGATGAAATGAAGGTTCTCTGCAGTCCAACATCCAAGCATTTTCTCCATCCAGGGTTACATATGAAGATATCCTCCTGAAATTGCCCAGAGTCAGCTTAATTCAATCAGTGGAAACCCACAAAGTTTCCAATTGCAATTATATGCCTTAGATAAGCAATAATCTTGCAGTTTGTGCTGAAAGTGGGTAAATAGAACTGCCTGAAAGTGAGGTTTCAATGATGTTGTACTGAGCCTGGGTAAGCAGAACTACCTGAAAATGAAGTTCAGATGATGAATGTTTGATTTTGCATGCCTTGACAGATGGATTTTTCTTGAAGCTTTGTCCCACAGAAAATCTATTGGTGTAGATGAGATGTGCCTCATTTTGGTGCATTGACCAAACACACCTGGTTTTGGTTGATTGACCAAACGTGCCTGGTTTTGGTGCATTGATCAAATGTGTCTCGTTTTGTTCCATTGACCAAATGTGCCTGGTATTGGTTCATTGACCAAACGTACCTCATATTGGTCCATTGATCAAATATGCCTGGTTTTGGTGCATTGTACAAATGTTCCTGGTTTTGGTTGATTGATCAAATGTGCCTGGTTTTGGTACATTGAAGAACGTGCCTGGTTTTGGTGCATTGACCAAATGTGCCTGGTTTTGATGCACTGAACAAATGTGCTTGGTTTTGGCGCATTGACCAAATGTGCCTCATTTTTGTCCATTGATCAAATGTGTCTCATTTTGGTCCATTGACCAAACGTGCCTGGTTTTGGTCCGTTAACCAAATGTTCCTGGTTTTGATGCACTGACCAAATGTGCCTGGTATTGGTCCATTGACATTTTGGTCCATTGACTCATTTTGGTCCATTGACCAAACGTGCCTGGTTTTGGTGCATTGATCAAATGTGTCTCATTTTGTTCCATTGACCAAATGTGCCTGGTACTGACCAAACGTACCTCATATTGGTCTATTGATTAAATATGCCTGGTTTTGGTGCATTGAACAAATGTTCCTGGTTTTGGTTGATTGATCAAACGTGCCTGGTTTTGGGGCATTGAAGAAATGTGCCTGGTTTTGGTGCATTGAACAAATGTTCCTGGTTTTGGTTGATTGATCAAACGTGCCTGGTTTTGGTGCATTGATCAAATGTGTCTCATTTTGTTCCATTGACCAAATGTGCCTGGTACTGACCAAACGTACCTCATATTGGTCTATTGATTAAATATGCCTGGTTTTGGTGCATTGACCAAAGTGCCTGATTTTGGTGCATTGATAAATATGCCTGATTTTGTTGCATTGACCAAATGTGCCCAGTATTGGTGCGTTGACCAAACACGCCTGGTTTTGGTTGATTGATCAAACGTGCCGGCTTTTGGCGCATCGGCCAAATGTGCCTGGTTTTGTTCCATTGACCAAACGTGCCTGGTTTTGGTGTGCTGACAGGGATGTGCTTTGTCTGTCTGCTGCAGACACGGAGACCTGTGACTACGGCTGGCACAAGTTCCAGGGCCAGTGCTACAAGTACTTCGCGCACCGGCGCACGTGGGACACGGCGGAGCGGGAGTGCCGGCTGCAGGGAGCACACCTGACCAGCATCCTCTCCCACGAGGAGCAGATCTTCGTCAACCGTGCGTACCCACGGGCTTCCTCTGCCTCACACCTCGGGGGCCACCACACCAGGGACATCTGGAGTGTCCAAAGGAGGGGCGTGGAGATGGGGAAGGGTTTAGACAGGAGCTGAGGTCACTTGGGCAGTTCAGATGGAGGAGACTGAGGCCAGACCTCAGTGTGGTCTCCAACATCCTTTGAGGGGCATCTCTGATCTCTGCTTCCTGTGGCAGGGTCAGAACCTCAGGGAATGGCCTGAAGATGTGTCAGGGAAGGTTTAGGTTGGACTTTAAGGAAAGGTTCTTATCCCCGAGGATGCTGGGCACTGCCGGGGTTCTCCAGGGAATGGGCATGGCCCTGAGGCTCTAGATTTCTGAATAAAACTAAAGGTTTTTCCTTTAATTTTGCCTGTGTGGTGTTGGAAAAATGTCTGATGATTGGTGGATTCAGTTTTGCAAAAGAGCTGTTTAAAAAATGTAAAACATACAGCACTTTGTTCAAGTGCACTTGAGGCAAAGCCTTTGCTCCAGGAAGCAAAGAAAAAGCTTTTGCTGCCAGAACTTCAGGAGCATTTAGAAAATTCTCCCAAGGATGCCCAGGGTGGGATTTTTGGGGTGTCTGTGCAGGGACAGGGGCTGGACTGATGACCCCTGTGGGTGCCATCCAGCTCAGCCTATTCTGTCACTCTAAACAAAAAGGTTCACTCTAAATGCTGAGGGTTCAGAGCTGGTGAGATCTCCTCCTCACCACTCAGCTTTTGTATCTCCAACTTAAAACATACTTTAAAATGTTACATAAAGGCATACTTCTGTGTTCTAAATGTTTACTTCTGCAGTTAATGCAAGTTCTCTATCACTATTAAATTATTATTTGTTAAATAGAAAACACTTTTTGGGGGGAGGGGTGAGAACAAGAACTTTTGATTTGACATTGAAACTTTTTGAGACATTTTGTTTTTTGGAGACTCAAGGTATTTTGTGCATATGACATCAAGACAAAGCCACCATAGTAAGGCATAAAAAAAAATAGCTACTGTGTTGTATTGTAAAATTTAGACAACAATGGTCATCACAGCCTAACCAAAACTTGAAAAATGTGGATTAGAATATGTGATTTTAATTTTTTTCTCTTCTTTTCTTCCTGTCATATGTTCTCAGATATGAAATTAATTCTCTTTGCCTTGGTAGACATCACTGGGAGTGAAGAGACAGGATCACTTAAAACTCTTAGATGAGAATCTGTATTTTTATACACATCCCAAATTAAAACCAAAAAGCTGAAAAAGAGCCTCTAAACCAGTCTTTAGCACAAAGAGCAGAATAATCTTAAGAACAGGATGTCTGATTCATTCAGCATAAAATGATTTTCTTTGGTGAAACCTCTTCCATTTATGGGAAAGTTAATGAAAATACCCTTCTGGTTCCCTAGGTATTGGCCATGACTACCAGTGGATTGGCCTCAATGACAAGATGTTTGAGCGTGACTTCCGCTGGACTGATGGCAGCCCACTGGTAAGATGCCTTCAAGCTGAAATCACTCACTTCTTTTTGTGGTGGCTTATCAAATTCCCACTAGCAATGAGGGAAGCTGCATTAAAAAAAAAAAAGAAGCAACAAAAAAACCCCAGAAAACCAGCCAAAAAATCCCCCTGTCGCTAAATATGGACCCAAGAAAACAGACAGTAAATTCATTTTGGGATACCTAATATTTTGTGGTTTAGCTTTAAGGTCTTGTTCTCAGTTCCTGTTATTGTATGTGTGGGAACTCTCTAAGGTTTCAAATAGAAAAACTCAAAAATCTGAGACTGTGGTAGTGTAAGGGTCTCTGCTGGAGCTGGTTTGTGATCTTCTTGCCTTGCGCAAGGCCATGTGTGGCAATTTCCTCACTCACCAGGATGCATTTTTGGGTGATGATCTGGCATTCAAGCTCTTGCCTTTGCTGGGTCTCTGGGGTGCACAGAGGAGCCTCACAAGTATTTCTGGAGCCTGCTCTGTGGGGCAGCTCTGCAGCAGCCATCCTTAGCTGCTTCAGGAGGCCTGTAACCCATAATTCAGCCATAAAGTTTTAAGATGCTGTTGATACCTCCTGACTTAAAACAAAAAGGAAAATCAGGAGAAGGAGAGGGAAAAAATCTTCACCCACCATCAATGAACCTAAATCAAAGAGCTGATGGACATAGGAAATTATCAAATTCTTCCCCATTCAAAATAATCTCTTCTGTAGGAGGAAGAGGTGATTTATTTCCTGTTGAGCACCCAGTGAAGAACATTACATTAATGAAAAGACCAAACTGGTTATTATTTTCCCTTCCAGTAGTGAAGTTTTAAATCAGAGAGCATCTGGACACACCTGCTGTTGCTGCAGACCATGTGGCTGCAGCTGGTGTGGAAAGACACCTGGGGCAAGACAGGCTTCACTTATTGCCACTTCATATAACTAACCAGAGCCTAAAAGTGCTCTGAAATGGCTTAAAAATGAGACATTTCTTGGGGAGATGGGTGGCTGTGGCAGCAAAGAGGGGTGGGAAATGGTGGTGAGGCTTTCTGTTGCCCCACTGGTGGCTCAGGGTGGTACCAAGGCACCCCTTGGTGATTCCAGACACCAGGTGTAAAATAAGGTAAACATATATAAGATAATACATAATGCTTATACATTCCAAAACCAGAGTTGTTGTGACACTGATTAATCACCCTGGTCTAGTGGAAGGTGTCCCTGCCCATGGTCCCTTCCAATCCAAACCCTTCTATGATCCTATAAATTTGAGGAAATTAAAATTGGAGCTGAGATCCTATTTTTAAATTCAGGCTACTGACCGAATGGACATTATATTTTTACTGTAATTTTAAATTTTTAGAAATTAAGATATTCTAGGAACAGAGTGGTACCATATGTCCAACAGATTTCTGCTCTGATTGATCTTTTTTTCCACCTTATTTTTCTTTCATTTTTAACAACTTCCCTCTGTCTCTTCCTTCGGAAACAATTTAGGTGTCTCTTGAAATCATTTATGTTCATTGCTTCAATAGATTTTCCTCATAACTTATTCCATATGGTTTCTGGATCCCATGGTTCTGAGCAGCTGCCTCATCACTTGTTCCTTTTTCTCTGGCTTTTAACTTATTTCTCATACTTTCTAACCACCCTTGTTGTTACAGTGATTTATTACTTCTCTAGTAATTAATAAGAATGACAACATAATTAAATATATGCATCCAATCTATTTCCCTGATGTTGTCCTAAAAGTGCAGTGAGTTTAAATACTATGAAGGTAGAAAATTTGCCTCTTTCATGGGTGTGCATGTGAGCAAGATTCATGCTGGCTTTAAATGCAGGAGCAAAATTTGTGATCATAACAATCAACATTATTACACCAACACTCAGGTTCTAAATTGAATTTCTGAGTTTAGAGGTGACTCTTGCCTATAGCCAAAATTTAAATAGCCTTGACGTGTTTTATGTTTCAGGGTGCACGTGTATCCAGCTGTTTCTAAATTTGCTTCCCAGCTCTATTCACTCTCCAAAAAAATATTGTCTATCCACAATTCTATTCAACACTTCTGGCATGGGGAAAAATTTGTCAAGTGTGCTGGGGATCCCCCTGATATCAGTTTTCTTGGACATACTATCAGAAGAGTGATTGTACAGCTAAAGTGGTGCACATTCATCTTTATCTTGATACTTCTTTGAGTTTTCTCCAATAACAGCTTGGTCCAATCCAAAAAATCAGGCTTGCATGACTTTATGAGGTTTTATGGATTAAAAATAAGCTCCTAACAGTTCTAATGCTTCATGCACTTAAAAGAAAAAGAAAATTAACAACAACAACAACAACAAGACATGTTGTGGGTGACAAATTTCTCTTTCACACAAATTTTTCTTCTGAACCCAAAGAAACCTGTAGAATTGGGAACTGGGAATGCTTGAAACACAGGCTCCACTACAGCAGACACAGAAAAATGGTTATATTACTTTGGTACTCATTTCCCAACACAAGGAAACCAGCAGAAATATGCAGCACACTGACAGCAACTCTTTTGCCAGATATTTTATTGGCAATTTTGGGAAAAGGGATAAAATACCATTTTTCCCCCCTTTCTTTGCACCTAAAATGTTTTCCAACCAATGGGTTCAATGGAAGGAAATCATTAATTTTTTGACATTTTCAACCCCTGTCAAGTTGTGTTTTTACAGATTTTTTTAACTGAGGCCAAGAGCCAGCCACCATTACCCATGATATTTGGGCAAAGCATGTAAATGAGAATATAGAATTAAGGTTCTTACTGGGAAACCTACATTGAACTTAAACTAGCCTTGACAGACTCTCAGCCCTTCTGAAAAAGACTGTTTAGTTACCTAATTGTGGACTTAGTCAGCCACTTTTGATACCTTGGAATTCTTCCTTTTTCACCCCTACAGAAAATACCCTCTGTTACCAATTCATCAAAACCAGCAGCACCAGTCAGAAAAAAAAAACAAAAAAACAAAACCAAACCCCCTGTATTCCTGGGCACATTTTTTGTGCTTCAAGTGGAATTTGTGTTGAACTTGGAAAAATAGTGCCAGTAAGCAAGTTTTCAAAAGATGAAAAGTGATCTTGTAAATTCATGCTCTGGCTGTCAGAGTTCCTGGAGGAAAATGTTGGTGTCTTGAAAAGTGAATACAATCAAATTCAGTGAGAAAGCAATAAATAGTATTTAAATCTTCTCAGCCCATGTGACTTTTGTCCATATTTGCATTGAATCTGTCTGTTTTCCATAAAAAACCCCCAATATTGAGGACAAGAAAAACTATCCTAATAAAATAGAAACAGGCCCACTCCTAAATCAGAGTATTGGAGGTTCTGCTCCTGAATAGAGACCTTGAGGAAGCTGTTTGATCTTCCTCACTGAAATGTCTGATGCATCATTATCTGTGAGATTTCAGAGGGATTTGGCAAGTTTATTCCTTAACTGTAAAGTGGTTTTAATTCAAAACTAGTTAGCAGTTTCCTGCCTTTCAGGCAAAATGGCACAATCTTGTGCAGATAAAGCCTCACCATCTGCTGGTGAAACACACATTTTCAGCTTGTTGTACCCACAGCAACCCAAACACAGACTGGGCTTGAGAGAAGTAGAATTACTTGAATCAAGTGGGTCTGCCTGTTTTCCATAAAAAAACCCAATATTGAGGACATGAAAAACTATCCTAATAAATAGAAACAGGCCCATTCCTAAATCAGAGTATTGGAGGTTCTGCTCCTGAATAGAGATCTTGAGGAAGCTGTTTGATCTTCCTCACTGAAATGTCTGATGCATCATTATCTGTGAGATTTCAGAGGGATTTGGCAAGTTTATTCCTTAACTGTAAAGTGGTTTTAATTCAAAACTAGTTAGCAGTTTCCTGCCTTTCAGGCAAAATGGCACAATCTTGTGCAGATAAAGCCTCACCATCTGCTGGTGAAACACACATTTTCAGCTTGTTGTACCCACAGCAACCCAAACACAGACTGGGCTTGAGAGAAGCAGAATTACTTGAGTCAAGTGGTTGTGTCCCACCTCTCTTGCCCTAAAGTTTAATTGTCAGTTCAGGTGGCACTTTGCATAAAGAAAATGGTTTTCAGGTAACTGGTCTATCATTACAGGATATTTTTTTTTTTTTTTGGCCAAAGGATTTGTATTTCCTTTTTTTTTTTTTTCTAAATTTTCTTTAAAAAACAAGTTGGGATCTTCTTTTTTAAGGCCAGGAGTTATCTTCAAAGTGCTCCTTGGCTAAGCTTGGGCACATTGTCCAATAGGCAGAATAAAATAGGCTTTAATTACAGTCAGTTGTGGAATGCAATGGCTGCTGTCATGTATCTGCTTTTTTCTGATTTGCTGTGCTGTATCTGGGTGGCAGGGAGCAATCTTTTCTCATCTACATCATGTCCCTGCTCACTTTTTTTTTTTTTTTTTTTTTATTCCTCTTACTTATTTTTGTTTTTGTTTTTGAAAGAAATAACTTTTCAGTGGTTCTCTTGTTGCGAGAGGTGGAATTCATGTTCTGGAGCTGGTGAGCCACACAACAAAACAAGTTTTTGGGCAAAACAACAACATCTTTTTTTTTATATGAAGGGCAAGGAGCTGTTGGCAGCTGTGTTAGTGCAGCACAAAAAGTGGGTGATCTTTCAGGAAACCCAGATCCTCACAGTGGGGCAAGGTCAGTGAGAGCTGGGGCCACTGACTCTGGGCTGGGAGCATCACCTGGGCTTGTGTGGACCAGCAGGAAGCTGCAAACTTTGGCAAATCTGGAAATTTGTCCCAAAAGTGAAGGTGGTGAGAGCAGCCTCTGAGGTGTGTTCAGAGAACTTGCAGCACCCCAGCTCTTTTAGGGCTTTGTTAATCATCACTTCCTGAAAAACCAAGCCAATTTCTTCTCAAGACATTTCAGGTGTGATTACATTGATAGATTCAAGAGGCAGGAGAGAAAAATATAGTGGTTTTTAGAGCATGCTTTGCTAGCTCTGCTTTTCTTCTGTTCAGGGGAGTTGTAGGGC